CTCAGAATTGTATCCGTGATAATATATAAACATTCATTATGATAGCAGGCATATATTAAGCATAACAAATATTACTCCATTTTTGTGATGTTGTATGTGGAAATGCTCTCCAACTTTCTTGGTTTGGGGTCACATATCATTTTCTCATTATATTAACCTTCATTAAGAAAGCTTGCTGGAACATTAAGAATATTGCAAACCAAGACCCCAGGGTTAATGTATATAAGAATATTATCTGCACCACTGGATAAAAGATAAAAATACAGGACTGTGTTTAGGAAGCTTGTTTAACACTCTCTCACTCTGACATCATTCTTAGCACTTGGCTAATTCTGGAAAATGTTACCCTTAATGCATTTAATTTAATATAAAAGTACAACACAGTATTACCTGAAATAAAAAGTAAAACGTGCATAAATCATAACGATGCTATTTTGATCCTTCCTTTGCCTCTTCTTGCCATCTAGATCCTTGTCACCTATCCTTTAAATAGACTTCATTCTGCACATATGTCACCACACAAATAAAGCACTGCTGTACCTTTACCAATCAAAGCTTCCCTTGTTTGGGCACAGAGCTCGTTGCCATAATTCTCAAACACTGTTGGCAGATTTGGCAGTATTATTTAGGCCCAAGGCACTATATGTATATCTTCTTTTGCTTTTTCATGATGTAGGACCACTCCCTACACCTTCATATTTATTTCTGCAGCAGCCTTGTTTCTGATTCAAATATCGCAAGAAGCTAGAGTGTGCTATATTTAGTTTTAGTTTATGCTGATGCACAAACTCAACTATCATGATGTATATTTGAATTATGTGACTATGACTTATGGCATATGTAACCTTTATGTTGCTTGAATGTACATGGATGCCTGCAAATATAGCTGACTAGACACTCTTTACATAAACTCCTGTACCTTCACTTACAGGATATGCCTTCATTCTTGTATCTTCGCCTAATCCTAGGGAAATCCTGTTAGATGTGATGCTATCATTTATTCCAGACCAGATCAGTTCCTGTACCATTTTTCCAAAGAAAGAAATAGAACTTTTGTCCTCCATCAGCTTCTTATATTTTTTGTGATTTAGCAAAGTGGCCAGGCTGAGTTCTCTATCAGAATGAGATTACTGATTCTAAAAGAAGATACAACAAGGCTTATATTATGCAGATTAAGGCTGAGTAACCAATGAGATTTGAAGATAATGGAAGAAAATGGAAATACCATGATGACTCTGGCAGGAAAACACACCCATACACCCATGCAGAACAAAGCAGGGATTGGGATATAAAGGCATAGCATAGCTCAATTAATAAAATAATTCAGCAAAAAGATCCCACTCTTCATTTAGCTGAACTGATCCTAATGACAATTGTCTTCTCATTGTTTGATCCTCCTCTGGGTTGGAACAGTTTTCTTATTTGATCAAAGACTATGGGAAGAAACACCTTCTCTTGTGATAAAGGACAAAAGAGCTGCTTGGAAGCTGCTAAATTAGCAAAGATTAGATGCAAAGTGTGAGCAAATCAAAAGGTTTGGTTCTTCCTCATTCTTGCCTGGCAAAATACAGGTAATAAAATACTAGTTTTATCTATTGTTCAGCAGAATATTTCTCTTCATCTGCATTATCTACTTCCCCAAACGATACAAAATTCCAAGAAAGTTCAGCAATTGCTCTTTGCATCAAGATTAACCAAATCACTTTCATTTAAATTTCTACTTTCCAGTGAGACATGGAAAAATAGTATGGTAACAATTGCTCAGCAAAGATCCCAATTTCCTTAGAGAAACTATATCTAAAATATATGTTTTTCATTTATAAAAGTAGACTAAAACATTTATCAAATGGGCTGAATTCTGCCAAGCACAGAAAAATATTTTGTTTTAAGTTCTAGGTATTCATTCATTCATTCAAGTCCAGTTTTGTGTTGGCCACCGTTATATCTAAATGTTGCATGAACTGATTTAGGTCTTTAAAATAAGACCTTTTTGCATAATTTAAAATAGCCCGCAAACACAATATCCTTCTATTTGTATGCCTTTATTTTGGAGTACAACAAAGTATATTGGTATGTTTAGCTGGCCAGTACCGGTGGTACATTAGCACTGTATCCTTAGGTGAACTGATACATCTTCAGATATTTGTCCTTAAATGTCTGAAGCAGCAAAATTTGGACAATAACCTAAGTCATTATATTGTTCAGTTTAAATTTAATATGTGTCAACACAACTATTATGATTTATAAATCATTATGATGTTTTGTGTCAAATTGCTGAAGTTATACAAATCATTATTAAAACAAACCATGTTTTAATTCAATATTCATTATGCCAACTAAGAATTTTCCCCCAGTTAGTGGCAAAACGCACTTTTTATTCTCTCCAAAGCACACACACCCCAGAAAAGCTGCTGCCTTTTCTTTACCTGGGAATCCCTAGATTACCTTCATTTTGCTACCTCTTCTTCTATCACTGGCATCTTCTCTTCTACTTGGCCTCCTTTAATTACTCACAGAATTTAATTACAATAAGATTCTATTTCTTCTCCATTATGCATGCAAACTCAGCCTTCTTTTAAAAATTCTGATCTATTCTTTAGTTTTCAACATTCAGTAACCGGACATGTCTTAAACTTTGCATGTATTAAAACCTGCTACTAGAATAGACCAGGAATAGCAGATAGTGATGAATAATTTACTGTATGCTGATAGATTTTGGGCTAATTTAATTCCCAAATGTCTGATAATTACAAGTGAAAAATTGTACTTGGTCAGAAATTTCTGGTCTGGCCACGTGCTCAAAATCACCCTGACCTTAATTCCAAGCCATTTACCAGCCCAAGCTATATTTTGTATATCTCAGAATACAACTGATAGCTCTTAGGTTTCATACCACTAATGCTGCTCATCTTACAACAGAGACTCTGCCTTCAGAACTGGAACTTGTCTTGGATAAGAGAGGCTGTCATTTAGTGTCAGCTAAAAACAGTTATTTTCTTGGTGGCTATAGACCACATAGACCAGGATCATGATATCAGGGAAGGATTTTTCTAGGGAGTTGCTTGAGTTTGGAAATGTATTAAATTTAAATGAAAGTTTTCGGGGAGGAGGTTTTCCCCTCTAAGCAAGAGGTAGGTGGATACTTTATGGAGAGAACTGCAAAATCATAGAAAAGCCTTCCATTTGAAATCGTCCCAAAGTTTCCGCCTGAATTATCGAAGTCCATTCAGGAAGAAAGGATGGGTGGAAGAGTTGCCTTTTGGTTGGCAATACAGAAGTCATCTCTCCAGGAGTAGCTGCAGAGCCATTACCCTCCAACTTGAATTTCTGCAGCAGAGCAGAAGTTATATCCTCGCCTGGACAAGAGGGTTCCCGCTGAAGAGGCAGAAGGCTGGGTAAGTGTTCCCTTCAGATGGGCCCCACAGAAAAGAGCCATTGCTACCGGGGATCGCCGTTCGCGGGATGCTGTGGCTTGGCGCTACTAAGATTGTCGAGCTCCCGCCCACTCGCGGTTGCCCAACCTCTCCTCGCCAGCCGCTCGGTGGGCAGCTACGAGGTCAGCAGACGCAGGCGGTGCAAGCTCTTTGAGGGACGAAGGCCTGGTTCCGGGACCCCGACCAAGCTTCTCTTGTGGGGCCAGGAATCCTCGGGCTGTGGCCGGGAGGTAACAGAAAAACTCCACCCGGGCGCAGAACCGGCAGGCGCAGGCATTGAAAAAGGTTGCCATGCGGTGGGGAGGGACTCGTCTCCCGTTTCTCTTCCGCGCTTTAGTTCGTCGCGCCCGGTGCCACCTACTGGACTCCTGCAAACAGGGAGAGGAAGAAACTCCAGAGCAGGTTGCCAGGCAGGCCGAGCTCGTGACTCGTAAGCCCGCGCGGCGCCGGAAGATCCAACTTCCCCTTAGGGGAGGGATTTTTTTTTTTTCTCTTACTGCGGGTGGTGGTGGTGGCAACCTTCTGGAGAAACTAACAACAATAACAAGGTTTAAAGGCGAGGGGGTGGGAAGAAGCCCCCCCCACACACTCCACATGCACACACCCGTTTGTATGCTGCAGAAAGAGTTTGCAGTAGCCTGAATGTAAGAGAATACAACTGGGAGAACAGTAGAGCGAGAACCAGAGGAAGAGTCGCCTATCAACCTGCAAATAGCTGGCATCTTAAGACCATAAAGTTGTTTGACTTCTTAAATGGTAGAAGGAAACAAACTCTTAACCTCAGCCCTTCTTGCTTCCATTATTATCAATTCCATTCATTGCGTCCACTTCAATTTCCCATAACGTTTCTGGTGGCTAAGTTGGGAAAGTGCCTTGCAAACTTTTTCCCCCCCTCCTTCAAATAAATAACGTGTTGTTTCTACCATGTTTTGAAAATTTTCTACAATTTACCAACAATCTGAAAGCCTTTTTCCTTAAAATAGCTATGTCCCTTTAAACACAGGCACTGGACCATTCAAACACTCAGTTTTCTATATTTGTTTGCTTTAAAACTGTGGGGAAATACAGTGCATTTTAAAGTATTGAGATTCTGTTTTCATTTACTTAATGACAGCATTAACTTTCATTTCAATCATCAATTAAGAAGTAATCCTGCTCTGGTAGGACTATTTTTTCTCTTTTATTGTAAAACTTTTATTTTCACAATGTATACATTTTATAGAAATATGGACTTTTTCTATCTATACATCCTTCCCATTTAAGAAATGTGTTTTGCTAAGCATCATCTTTGACTCATTCCATCTATTTGCATGATTCTGTTGTTCCTTACAGGCACTTCTGTTAGTCTATATTCTGAGAATTTGGACATAACAAAAAGGTAATTGGGAACTGTGAAAGAGGAGGAAAAAAAAAAGACAGATTTTAATTAACTTTGTAAATTTTAACAGCCAGAAAGTGAAAATAAAATACAGGATGAGCATATTTAAATATCCAATGCTGTTGGAAAAAATTCCAAGTAAGATAAACATAAGGAATATCGGGTGAAAGCATATTATAATGCTTTACCTGGACATGGTAATCTCTCCTTGAGGGCTCTGGGATTTCTCCAGTCCCAATTTGGTGAAGATACCCACCAGCACCATGATGGCCACCACACCACAGATAATGTATACAATCATGTTGGTCTTGTCCTTGGTAGGATTCTGAGGAGTCTCATCCACTCGAGGTGGTGGTTGACCTGTGTTGACCCATTCCGGTGTCTCGTAATTTGAACAACCACTTTGATCAAGTTTTCCACTTGTGAATTGGCAGCAGAAGCGGTAACCACAAGTCCCACAGCAAAAATTGTAGATCCCTGAATTGCAGTTAAATGGAGGATCCCACTGACCCATTACATCATAATAACCAAGGCACCGATCTCCCCCAAAGATGGACTCTGTGGGAGCTACAATTGTGTCCTCTAAGATCGGACCCAATGTGGTATTGCCTTTGACCTCCACCTGCAGTTCTGACTCACGTTTCTGAGGATTAAGTGTTCCAGTCCAAACTTGACCTGGGTCCATAAGAACTAAGCAATAGAATCCAAAAATACACCGTTCCATCTGTATGCCACTCCAGTTCACTACTAAAACTGCTTTCTCTTGCCAAGATTAATTTCCACAATAGAAAAAACCTTGTTTTGTTTAGCAATGCAAAAAAGAAGATTTTTTTTTAAAAAATCCAGTCAAAAATGAAAAGATAATATAGTTCTTTGTAAGCCACTTCTAGTGGAGAGGTCAAGCTCTTGTTTTTTCTCCAAAGCAAATAGCACAATCAAAATAAATTCTCTAGTCCCCCAAAAAAGAAAAAAGTAGGATGGGTGGGAGTATGGTTGGAAGTTGAAAGAAAGGGGATGAGAATAGAAGAAATCAATATAATATGTAGCATCATCAGAAGACAATCTCAGAATTTTCTATGCAATCCCAAGAGGTAGTAGATATGCAGTCCTCCTTCTTTTAGTAGCAAATATTTGGCTTCTAATTTCATTTGAAAAGCTTCACTGAAAACCTTTATGGACTATATTCTCGTCTTGACTCGAACCAAATCCTGAAAGCAGTCCTTCCCTTTCTTCTTCCTTCTGTCCCCTTTCTCAGAGACACTGTGCTTTCTGGAGGGGAAAAAAATTCTTTGCACCACTGAGAAGGGAGGGATTATCAAAAGGGAACGAAAGAAAGAAAACAGGAGGGGTGGAGGGGGAGAGAAGGAGAGAGAAAGTACAGGAAGAATTAAAACAGCTCAAGTCAAACCCACAAATGCCTGATCATTTCCAAAGCAGATCAGAGAAGAATCTTCAGGTTTTCATCCTCCATGTAGAATCTTGGTAAAGACTCAGAGGCTGTTGCCATCAGGCCAGGTTAGATTCAAGAGGACGGCAACAGTGACAATGCCCAGTAATGTAGTGCACAACTGTGAAGAGCTGGTGAACAGCTAGCCAGTTTCTCCTCTGCTTGCCTTTTCCAGGCAGTTTATTAGTAGGAGAGAAACTGTCCAACAGTTCACCTGATTATCCTTTATAGGGGTAGAACAGGAATAGCTATGCTTAAGAAAGAACTCTCTGACACTATACTGTAGTATCTGTCCAGCAGCATCATTGTTGCTCTTTCATGTGTGAGAACAGGATTGTAAAAGTACATTTAAAAAAAAAATATTCCCCATTTATAGATTGACTGTTGTGAAAATAAAAACCAGTTTTTGATCCTTTTTAGGACTAAAGAGTACACATTGTGTAGAATTTGAGAAGTATGCATATGTATGTATATATAAATAAGGAAATATCTACAGCAGTGTTTCTCAACCTTGGCAACTTTAAGAGGGGTTGATTTTAATTCACAGAATTCCCCAGCCAGCATGGGAGTTGAAGTCCACCCATCTTGAAGTTGTCAAAGCTGAGAAATACTGATCTATGATATAACTTTTGAGCCAACTAAAAAGGGAAGAATAGAGTTGGGTGCTGTACAATATCATCACAATCAAGGAAATATTTTCTTCTGATTTCTTCCTTAATATATGAATTTAAAATATATATTGGCCACTATCCCAGCATTTGGAGTAATTTAAAAGCAGACCTTGAAGCTACAAGAGAATCACATAGGTTGCCAGATAATAATCCTGCAATGTATTTTGAGAACACTTCCCAGTCTATTCCTGGATAACAGTTGCAATGAAAAAAAACCTGATCTTTATTCTTATTTTCTCTGCAGAATATTATTTTCAGGATATCAGGAAAAAAAATCCCAAGCCAAATGTAAGTTTCAAAAAATGAGTAGAATTTTCTGTTTTGATTTTTATTCCATCAAGGCTCAAACAGAATTTTAGAATGGAAGCTTGGTTAGAGTAATGGACAGAATAGTCATAATTGATTGAAGGATAACTTCAGTCTAAGGAAAAGGCATATATTAAACATTTATTCACTTATTAATTTACATATATTTTATTGAAAAATAATTTTGTATAGGATTAAAACTACAAAAACAAAGATTAAAATAAAGAAAAAGACATGCAAAAATAAAAGAATAACTGAAAAATCAGTAAAAGTCATAGAAAAAGACAAAAAAGAGACAGAAAAAGAAAAATATTTAAAGAAGCAGCTTCCAATTTTTGCAGCAGATTACCTCCCTCCCAAATTACATAACATGGTTCCCTTCTTCCCATAAACAACACCTTTAATCAGTAAATCCTCAAATCCTCAATTCATTTCTATCCATTTTCAACAAGTCTATAAAGGATTTCTGGTCTTTTGCAAAATATTTTTCCCTTCTAATCAAACAGGCCAATTTAGCCATTTCAGCAAGTTCTACTATCTTAACAGTCCCTTCTTCCATTGTGGATATTTCTGTATTTTTCCATCTTTGCACAAATGGTAGCTTCATGCAGTTACCATATGTAAAACTAATTGTCCATGAGTCTTTTCTAGTGTTGATTGTCCATAAGTTTTGGTTTCTTTAAATTTCAAAATTTTTATTAGGTTAGCAAAATATAAAATATGGAATACAAAGAAAAATGAAAATAAGGGGAAAATAAGGGAGGAAAATGGAAAGAGATAAAGGTATACAGTAAAGCGGGAAAAGAAAAAAAGGCATTGACTTCCTTTAGATGCAGTAGAATAAGGTAATCATATGAAACCTAAACTTTTTATTTTTATGTAATAATATTAGCCATTCTACAACAACAGACCTGTCTAATCGGCAAAATCCAAAATCAAAGTTTCATTTTTTTCCCACCTTAAGCACAGAGTCCAAAAGCCATTTCCAAATGGAAATAAAATTGTGTCCTTTTCTTTAATTAAAGCTGTCAATTTAGCTGTTTGTGCTAATTCCATCAACTTTTGCAGCTGTTTGTCCATTATGGGAATCAAAATGTCTTTCCATTTTTGTGCATAAAGTAATCTTGCTGCCATCAACATATATAACATCAAAGTTCCAAAAAAAATTCAAGTTCTTTTCCATTAGGCCTAAAAGAAAAGTCTCTGGTTTTACCTTTATATTCACTTTTAAGAATCTTCTGTATTAACATGTGAATCCTACTCCAATATTTCTTGGCTTTGAAACATGTCCACCATAAATGATAAAAAGTTTCTTTTTTATATTTATATTTCCACCATTCATTTGAGATACTTTTATACATTCTTGACAATTCATCCAGTGTTAGATACCAACAATACATCATCTTATAAAAGTTTTCTTTTAAATTATAATTTAATGTGAATTTTAGACCTTTCATCCACATATTCTCCCATTGTTCAAACATTACATTATATCCAAAGTTCTTTGCCCACTGAAATCATACAATGCTTTACATACTTATTCTCCAAATTCAAATTTACTAACAATTTATAAAACTTAGCAATAATGTGTTCATCAATACTACACAGTAGGATATCAAATTTATTTTTCACCAAATCAAATACATAACTTTTTGTCTAGTTTAAATCTTTTTTTAAATTGTAAATATGTAAAACAATAGCAAACACGTCCTTCTGATACTAACTCCTCTTTAGATTTGAGGATAGGGTCAATAATAATTGAAAGATATTATTTGACAATAAGTTCACCAGTCTGGCCTCGCCATCATTTCTTTAAAAAAAAAAGCTTCCTGAGGAGTATCAAAGAGGCATCTTTCCAGAGATCTTTATTTTATATTTATTCCAAACTCTTAGGATGGCACATCTAGCAGAGTAATTATGAAAATCAACACTTACTTTAACCTTATCATATCATAAATAGCTGTGCCATCCAAATCTTAATTCATGGCCCTGTAGCTTGAGTAACCTCTTGTTTTGGAGACTCACCCACTCTTTTAGGCAGACCAAACAACAAGCATCAAAATACAATTTCAATATTTCACAATCGGACATATTTTTAACAAGCATCGTTGTTTTCTGTTTGTTTATTTTAAAGCCCACTAAAGGTCCAAACTCATTTATTTTCTTCATCAAATATTCTGTATTTTTGGATTTTGCAAAAATAGGTGAGTCATCAGCAAATGCTCTCAATTTATAAACTTCCTTTTTGACATTTATACCTGTTATTTTTCTCATCTTGCCTAATATCTCTATTCAAAACTTTCAGTACCAATATAAGCAGCAAGGAGATAAGGGGCATCCTTGTCTTATATCCTATGAATTTCACATGATTTAGTTAAATCTCCATTAATAATAATTTTTGCTTGCTGTGACCCCTTGAATAAAATGCTCTCTGAAGTCCATATCTTCTAATACTTTAACATAAAAACCCAGTCTAAGTTGTCAAAAGCCTTCTCTGCATTCAAAAATATTAAAGCTGCCTGTTTCTCATTATGATATTGTAAATATTCAGTAATAGTCAAAACATTGTCTCTTCTTCACATTGTCTCTTAACTATCTTTTTGGCAAAAAGGCAGATTGAGCTTCATGAATATATGCCTGTAAAACCTTCTTCAATCTTTCTGCTAAAATTGCAGCAAAAAGTTTATAGTCATTATTTGATAATGAAATTGGTCTGTAGTTTTTTTTTATTATCCTCAGGACATCCTGACCCTCCTTTCGTAATAATGCAATATTAGCTTCTTTTTCAGGTTTGAGGCATCTTTGCTTTCTGTAATGCTCCATTCATTATATCCTTTAGTGGCTGAAGGAGTTGATCCTCAAAGCATTTATAATATTGGCCTGTAAGACCATCTCGAGCTTTATCTGGTTTCATTTTTTAATAGCTTCTGATATTTCAAAGGTCACTGGATCACTCATAAGCTGTTTCTGAGCTTGTGAAAGTTTAGGTAAGCATTGTCTTAGCAGATATTCATTTATTTCATGCATGTCAAATTCTTGCTTCTTATAGAGATTGGAATAGAAATTATGAAATGACTTTTTAATAAGATCATTATCTGATATTACATTGTCACCTTCATACATTTTCTTGATCATTCTTTTTTCCTTTCCCTTCCTAATTTATATGCCAATCATCTTCCTGGTTTATTTGCAAACTCAAAATGCCTTTCTTTCACATTATTAGGTTTAGTTTATATTTCTTTAACTGTTAACATAGACAATTGTTGATGTAACAGTTTAATTTGAGGTAAATTTTGGAGTCTGTAGTTATCTTTTTCAATTCAGTTTCTTTCTAATTTCATCCAATATCTTTTGCATCTTTTCATGGGATTTTTTTTCTTCGCTAGACAATTATGTTGTATAAATAGCCCCTCATAACTCCTTTAGTAGCATCTCAAACAGTCATCAAGTTTGTCCCTTTATCCAGGTTATCAAAATATTGATTTGGTTTCTTTTTACAGTCCTTTATAATCATCTCCTTTTGAAAAATATTCATTTAATATCCATCTACAGCAGTGGTTCTCAACCTGTGGGTCGGGACCCCATTTGGGGTCAAACGACCATTTCACGGGGGTCTCCAAACAACGCAGTCCGCCATTTTTTTCCCTTTTCCCTAGCTGTCCTACTTCCTCTTATTGGTGGCCACACCCACTTGGGGGTCACCACAACATGGGGAACTGTTTTATGGGGTCACGGCATTAGAAAGGTTGAGAACCACTGATCTACAGTATAATTCAAGCTCTTTTTTCTAAGTATCAAAAGAACTGGGTTATGATCAGAGAAAGATTTAGGCAAAATATCAACTTGTAAGACTTTTAGAGATCCATATCACATTGATTCTTGACACGGATTTATGTCGTTCTGAAAAAAAAGTATATTTTCTAGCACAGGGCTTTTCAACCTTTTCACCCATTGTACCACTTTTAGGATATGGCAACATCCGAGTACTACCAGTCGCCTAGCAAGGCGTCAAAAACTTGATAAAGTACAGGTAGTCCTCGACTTACAACAGTTCGCTTAGTGACTGTTTGAAGTTACAATGGCACTGAAAAAAGTGCCCTCCAAGCCACAGTCGAGCAAGACACCTGCCTGCCCACCCGGCGTCACTCTTCCTCCTGTCCAAGGTTTTCATTGTTTTGAGCATTTCTGATGAGTATTGGCAGCGGGGGGGGGGTGTTTGGTTTTTGTTTCCCCCGTCTGCTGGGTGGTTGCAGC